CATTGCTACTTGGCCCTACCAAAATTTATTTTTGCTCCTCACTACATTTGCCACAAGAGTTTATCTAAACCATTTCCATTCTTCTGAGATGTATCACCTACTTACAGAAGTTATCATCTATCCCAAATCTCCTCTTCTCTCCAATTGAACATGCTTGCATTCACATTCTCTGTTTCAAGTATCGACTCTTCCCTCATGCCTTAAAGGAAGGTGCATTCTTTTATGGCTACACCCACATGTCTTGTTTTTTATCCAATTCTTCAGTTAGCATTAGGCTCTGCTGCAAATAGAAAAATCTCTAAGTAACAGTTTTTAACAAGGTGTTTCCCACAGGTGAAAAATCTAGAAGGCTCTTGAGGGCTCATAGGGCAGCTCCATGAGTTGATTGTTTCCTTCTCACTGCTATGCCATCTCTAAAGCATGCCTTCATCCTTATGGCACAAACTTACTGCCTGAAAACCCGCGAACCCAACTTTCCAGGAAGTAAAATTCACTTTAAAAGGTCATGAGGGCCCAGTGCAGTGGCTTACGCCTGTAATCCCAGCACTTTGGGAGGCCGAGGCAAATCACCTGAGGTCAGGAGTTCAAGACCAGCCTCCCCAACATGGTGAGAGCCCATCTCTACTAAAAATGCAAAAAAAAAAAGAATTAGCTGGTAATGGTGGCAGACGCCTGTAATCTCAGCTACTTGGGAGGCTGAGGCAGGAGAATTGCTTGAACCTGGGAGGCAGAGGTTGCAGCGAGCTGAGATGACACCATTGCACTCCAGCCTGGGCGACAAGGCGAAACTTCATCTCAAAAAGAAAAAAAAAAAAAAGGCCGGGCGCGGTGGCTCAAGCCTGTAATCCCAGTACTTTGGGAGGCCGAGGCGGGCAGATTGCGAGGTCAGGAGTTCAAGACCAGCCTGGCCAACATACTGAAACCCTGTCTTTACTAAAAATACAAAAATCAGCCGGGCATGGTGGCAGGCGCCTGTAGTTCCAACTACTTGGGAGGCTGAGACAGGAAAATCGCTTGAACTCGGGAGTCGGAGGTTACAGTGAGCCGAGATCATGCCAATGCACTCCAGCCTGGGCAACACAGCGAGACTCCGTCTCAAAAGAAAAGAAAAAAGTCAGAACAAATGCGCCCAATTTATACCTAATTGGCTAAAATGTAGTCACTTAGGCACATTTGGCTGCAAAAGACTATAAAAGAAGCTATTTTAAGCTGGGAAGCAGTGTGTCCACTGAAGTCTGTGTTCTGTGACTTTAAATAAAAAAACTGGTTTCTGTTACAATGAAGTAGAGACTAGGTTTGGTGAGGCACTCATCCATCCTTTCTCACCTCCAACAATTTGCGTTTACTTATTTCTTCAATCCCTTTCCATCCCCTCTTAGTTCTCTACCTTTTGTCCTGAAAACCCCAAAAACCTCTTGATTCTGGTCATTCTCTTCCTTTCACTGCAAATAATAAAAAATAAAACCTTATTTCTCTTTACAATTTCTTTCACTTTTTTTCTTTTGTGCTGTTCCCAATCCCTAAACACCATCTCACGTTTAGATTACACAGCTTCCTACTTCGTCTCAGAGTTCCTGCGGGCACTTTATATCCCTTTTACCCCAACCAAATTCTTAAATTTTATTTTATTTATATTTAGCGTCACAAATAATACACGAGTAAATTATTGGTTTTTTTTTTTTTTTTTAAAAAGTATAATTATCTCCAACGTCTCCCTTGGACACACCAAGGGCTACGTTAAGCTCTTTAGAATGTAGAAATGAAAGAACGCCTCCCGGGTTCAGGCCGTTCTACTGAACAAATGAACGGATGGCACGTAAATGCGTTTTTACAATTCGTTCGTGTGAAACCGGTACACTAAGGCCCTCTGTCATTGCGGGCTTCGCTGCCACCATGAAGGTCTTTCCCAACAAAAAGAGGGCTTGTCTGCTACAAATTTGAAGCGCAAGCATAAACCCAAGGCGTGCCTGTGACCGCCCTGGCCTGAGCAGGCGGGGCGAAGGCAGGAATGAGATTCTCGTGAGTTCTCGGATCTGCGCGGAAAACGCGCTCGAGGCAGTTCTCTGACGTATTTCCGTAGCGCCAGGGAAGAGGGAAGTCGTGGTGGTCGCGGGGAAGCGGGGAAGATGGTGGTCACCAGATCTGCACGGGCTAAGGCCGGCATCCACGCCGCGTCGGCTGAAAGTTCCGGGCAGAAGGTAGGAAATCCCGTCTTCCCTACTTCTCCCCGCTCCGCAGAGCCGCACTCAGGCAGGCGGGGCAGCGCAAGGGTCGGGCTGAGGGCGAGAACTGCCGGCGCAGAGGACCCGAGCTTGCCGCGTGCTGCGGTGTCCCAGGCCCCGTCCTCAGCCTGTCACGGAAACCGTTTAGTCCTTGCCACAGTCTTTTAAGGCGATTTTTAGTATGGAATAGGGTGAGGTAACTTTCTTTGGGTCGTTCAACTCCTAATGCGGAAGCACAGCTCAAGCTTTTAAACCATACTAATAACACGGTACCCAGGAGGGCTAATTTCGGCCACCATTCTCAAGCCCCATTTAGGGGAGCTGGAGGAAAAGCTTCGTTTTCACGTGGGGAGGTTGGCTGCTGTCCAGCACCACCTCGTTAAGGCGTGAGAAGGGCAGTGATGACGCCGCCTGGTGACTCTTAGTGGCGTTTGTCGACTGATTCTGATTGTGCAATGCAGGGAACGGAGCAGCGGCGATTTTTTTCTGTATGTGAAGGTAGGGATGGCGACCTTACAGTGTGTTCCTAAACACATCGTTGTTCAGAGTTAATATTCCCCATCTCCCCTCTTCTCCTTTAGGTGGGTCGAAATGTTGGTTTACCCATTATATTTGACTTAAAGCAGAAACATTTTAATTGTTCTGCTTCCCGAGGTTACATCTAGGAAGGATGAGGCAAGTGAAGTAAATGCAGGGTTGGACCCAGTGTTTAAATTTTGATTTATTTTTACTTTTATTTTTATTTATTTATTTATTTTGGAGAAGGAGTCTCACTCTGTTGCCCAGGCTGGAGTGCAGTGGCATGATCTTGGCTCACTGCAACCTCCGCCTCCCAGGTTCAGGCAATTCTCCTGCCTCAGCCTTCTAAGTAGCTGGGATTACAGGCGTGTGCCACCACGCCCTGCTAATTTTTGTGTTTTTAGTAGCGACGGGGTTTCACCAAGATGGCCAAGCAGGTCTCGAAATCCTGACATCGTGATCTGCCCACCTCGGCCTCCCAAAGTGCTGGGATTACAGGAGTGAGCCACCACACCCTGCCAAATTTTGATTTTTTTTAAATCATGAGTTGGGCGGGTTTTTTTTGTTGTTGTTGTTGTTGTGGTTTTTTTTTTTTTTTTTTTTTTTTTTTTTTTAACATGAATAATGGAAGCACTGTGCGTTGTACTAATGCCTCCATAACAGATACAGAAAGGAAACTGTTCAAACTTCTCCAGATGGCAGTGACATTTTTCAGCTTGATTTGGTAACACGACTGTGACCTACAGACAGCATAAATATGTGTGCCATCACATGTGTAATTTCTTACAGACCACGTTTGGTTCTTCTCCAATGTCTCCTTTTGGAGTTGTACCTGATTTTATTACCAGTTTTCATCCGAATCCACTGGGGAATGGGACGATTTTGCTTTTGTTTCTTGGCCAGGAATCGCTTAATCCTGAAAGTCTTGTGAGAAGACATGGCGAGAAACGGAGTAATGCACACACCACGATGGCGGAGAAAGGAAGAGAGCTGTTGTTGTTGTTTTCAAAGATTATCTTGTTTACTTGGTTTTAGCTTTTAGGGTCAGTACTTCATTTGCTTTGCCCTTGTTCCAGCCCCACCTAAATTACTGTGTGTTTTCCCTGCCTTGCAGAGTTCTGCTGCTAATGAGATTGAAGCACATCCAGAAAGTAGTACTGGATCTGATGACCGAACTACTGCTGAGTCACAGACCACTGGGAAACAAAGCTCAATCCCTAGAACTCCTAAAACTACAAAGAGAAAGAGCAGAACTACAGGCTTACTACCAGAGGGGACTGAACCATTTACAGATGGTGAGACCTCCGAGGCAGAGTCAAATTATTCTTATGTGTCTGAGCACCATGATACCATTTTAAGAGTAACTAGGAGAAGACAGATCTTAATTGCATGCCCCCCAGTGTCCGGTGTTAGGAAAAAGCTGAAAGTAACTCCAACAAAGGAGCCTTATACTGAGGAAGTAGTCTCTGAAGCAGAATCTCATGATTCAGGTATTTCTAGAATTGTGCTTCCCACAGAAGAAACGATAGGAACTAGAAGAAGTAAAGCTAAATCTCTGACAGATCCAAGCCAAGAATCTCATACAGAAGCTTTATCTGATACTGAGATATCAAGCTTAGACATTTCATACTCTGGAATTGCAACTAGGAGAACAACCAGGAGTATGCAGAGGAAATTTAAGGCACGCACTGAAAAGAAAGATATTAAGATTGTACCAGGAAATGAGAAACAGATCATGGGAACACCTGTGAATTCAGAAGATTCAGATACCAGACATACTTCCCATTTACAAGCAAGATCTCTTTCTGAGATAAATAAGCCAAATTTCTGTAATAATGACTTTGATGATAATTTCTTCCACAGAAGTTCAGAAAATAAACTAACAGTGCAAGAACAGGCCAATGTTGAATCTGTTAAAGAAGTAAAACAGAATTGTAAGGATTTGGATGAAGATGCCAATGGAATAATAGATGAGGGGAAAGAAATTAATGAGAAAAGTTCTCAGCTGAAGAATTTTTCCGAACTTCAAGACACTAGCCTTCAACAGTTAGTTTCTCAGAGACATTCAACCCCCCAAAATAAAAATGCTGTATCGGTGCACTCTAATCTGAACTCTGAGGCGGTAATGAAATCATTAACTCAAACATTTGCAATTGTAGAAGTAGGCAGATGGAATGACAAGAAAAAGAGCCCCCCAAAAGCAAGTGACCTGATAAAGTTTGGTGATTGTGGTGGTAGCGATGATGAAGAAGAATCCACAGTTATAAGTGTCAGTGAAAACATGAACAATGAAAGGAATGTAGATTTTGAATGTGATACCACACTATATACCTCTAGACCTAACACATCTCAGGATAAAGATAATTCTGTCTTATTAGTTCTCAGCAGTGATGAAAGCCAACAGTCTGAAAATAGTGAGAATGAAGAGGATACTTTATGTTTTGTTGAAAATAGTGGCCAAAAAGAGTCATTAAGTGGAAACACGGGAAGTATGTCATGTGACAATGCATTGTTTATAATTGACACAACTCCTGGAATGAGTGCTGATAAAAATTTTTACCTGGAAGAGAAAGACAAGGCAAGTGAGGTTGCCATTGAGGAAGAAGAGGAAGAGGATGAAAAAAGTGAAGAACAATCATCAGACCGTGATGAAAATGAAGGTGAATTTAGTGATGAAGAAGACTTACTAAATAACACAAAAGCTAAACTGTAAGTTTTTTCTTTGTTTTACAAGCTTTTTGATACATGTATTTCAAGTGGTTAATTTGCCATAAAAATATGAAATGTTAGCATGGGGAATGAGAAAAATCACTGCCTTGGGTTCTTCATGGAATAGCTCTTCTATCCAGTATGTCCCTTGTATTTTTTGATACCTATTTTAGTAATATTTTTCTGCCAATCATAGCTAAAAGTGCTCCTTTTGGTGACATGTTGGAAATCATCTGCTGGATGCAGTGACTCATGCCTGTAATCCCAGCACTTTGTGAGCCTGAGGCAGGAGGATCACTTTAGCCCAGGTAGGTGTTTGAGATCAGTCTGGGCAACATAGGGAGACCCTATCTCTACAAAAACAATTTTTTTTTTAATTAGCCAGGTGTGGTGACCTGTGCCCCTGTGGTCCCAGCTACTTGGGAAACTGAGGTGGGAGTATTGCTTGAACCCAGCAGATTGAGGCTGCAGTGAGCCATGATTGTGCCACTGCACTCCAGCCTGGACAAGAGGGAAATGTTTCAGAAAAAAAAAAAAGACATTATATGTTAAGATTTTTGTATGTGAAAATCATATGTTAAGATTTTTGTATGTGAAAATCATATGTTAAGATTTGTGTGCATGGTTAAGAGCAATAACTGGCTCACACCTGTAATCCTTGGAGGCCGAGGCAGGTGGATCGCTTGAGCTCAGGGATTCAAGACTGGCTTGGGCACCCATCTCTACAAAAATTAAAAAAATAAAACAAGCTGGGCATGGTGGCAAGCTCCTGTGGTCCTGGCTACTGGGGAGGTTGAGGTGGGAGGATCACTTGAGCCCACGAGGTAGAGGTTGCAGTGAGCTGAGATCACACCACAGCACTCCAGCCTGGGTGACAGCAAGACCCTGTCTCAAAAAAAAAAAAAAAAAAAAGAATACAGTATGTTCTCTTTTGTGTCTGCCGCCTTTCACTCAGAATATTGTTTCTGTAATTCATCCATGTTACTGTGTATGCCAGTAGTTTATTCTTTTTATTGCTGAGTGTTATTCCATTGTATGACTATACAACAATGAATTTATCTGTTCAACTATTGATAGACATTCGGGTTGTATACAGTTTTCAGTATTGTATTTATGTCAAATGATCATTTAAGATTGAATGCAAACTCACTTTGGGAGACTGAAGCAGGTATATCACCTGAGGTCAGGAATTGGAGCCTAGCCTGGCTGCTGGGCGTGGTGGTGGGCCCCGGTAACCACAGCTACTTGGGAGGCTGAGGCAGGAGAATCACTTGAACCCAGGAGGCAGAGGTTGCAGTGAACTGAGATCGTGCCATTGCACTCCAGCCTGGGCAACAGCAAAACTTTTCTCAAAAAAAACAAAAAAAAAAGATTGAGTGCAAACCAAGCTGGGTTATGGTGTCATCCACCTGTATATATGTAGTCCCTTAGTTGGGACTATATATATACATTCAGGGTTGAGAATTGCTGCTAAGACACTGCACTAGAATGATTTCACTTTCCAGTAGAGGTTGATTATGCTTTCACTTACTCAGTGTATGTGGATAATGAGGGAGGAAAGTTACTATAAGTCCGAGTATACTTATTAAAAGGACCCTTTCATAATATAAAGTAGAAATTATCATTACATAAATATAGCAGAAGCCCAGGTCAACTCTAGAAGATCCCAGTTTGGTAGGTCTGGGGTATGACATTTGTATTTTTAAAACACTCCTGTGGGATGGATGCTCATATCTGTTGGAGACCCACTTTAGAGATACTAGCAAATACCCTTAGTCACCCAGGAAAAAACATTTAAGTTTTGATAACTTGGAAGTTCAAGAACCTGCCTTTCTCAATGGTTTGAGAGATGGAGATGTGTACATTTATTAACTCACTACCTATATATGAAGTTGAATTGTCAGGTATATTTCCTTCTCTCCTTTTCTGTAATTCTTTATAAACTCTCTTTATGAAATCTATTGCTATTTTATATGGCCTTAATCTTCTTTTTTTGTTGTTTAAACAGAGTCTTGCTCTGTTGCCCAGGCTGGAGTACGGTGATGTGGTCTTGGCCTACTGCAACCTCTGTTTCCTGGATTCAAACGATTCCCTTGCCTCAGCCTCCCTAGTAGGGCTTACAGGTGTGCACCACCACACCTGGCTAATTTTTTTGTATTTTTAGTAGAGACGGGGTTGCACCATTTTGGTCAGGCTGATCTCAAACCCATGACCTCAAGTGATCCACCGGCCTCAGCCTCTGAAGGTGCTGGGATTACAGGCGTGAGCCACCACATCTGGCCTGCCTTAATCTTCTCTAAAAAAGTCTGGGGAGTAAATTTGGATGTGTTCCCCCAAAACCTTTTCTTTTTAATTCATTATTCATCAAGAGTTTCTTCTAAATGAATCTATTTTTACTAGATTTAAAATAGCCATTTTCAAGGGTTTAAGATGAGTTTGAGCAACATAGTGAGACCCTGTCACTAACAAAAAAAAGGAAAAGAAAAAATGAGCCAGGTGTGGTGGTGCTTACCTGTAGTCCCAGTCACCCAGGGAAGTTGAGGCAGGAAGATCACTTGAGTCCCAAGAGTTCAAGGCTGCAGTGATCACCACTACACTCCAGCCTGGGCAACAGTGAGACCTTGTCTCAGAAAATAAAATTATAAAACATATATTTATTCAGAGTTTTTTTTAGGAATTCCTTGTAAACATAAGATACTTTTTTTTTTTATCATTGATAATACAAGGGAAGAGAAGAATAAGTGATTTTTTTAAATGCAATCTTGTCTCCATTTTGATTTAATTACTTGGTCTTTAAGTGATGATTTCTTTTTCAGTCTAAAGTTGACAAGCAGCAGCATAGACCCTGGTCTGAGTATCAAGCAGTTGGGTGGTTTGTATATTAATTTCAATGCAGATAAACTACAGTCTAACAAGAGGACCCTAACACAGATCAAGGAGAAAAAGAAAAATGAGGTAAGTTAATTGTGCTTAGGTTTTCATGGAAGTAACTAGTCACTTTAGAAATTAGTCCTGGGTAAAAGACTAATTTTCCTACAGTGAAACCACATTGGTCTAATGTGTTAGGTTTTTCCTCATCTCTAAAAGTCATTTCTTTTTACAATAAAATCCTGTCAATAATAATGCTTTAAAAATAAATCAATGCAGGGTCAGTGTTCATCATCTTACACCCATGAATAATGATCCCAGGGATTTTGTTTTCTTCTCCTTTCGTGCTATACTTTTAGTTCTTAAGTTCTTAACTAATGTAGACTCTGTTGAAAATCTGAAAGCTGTGAGTGCCTGCCTCTTCCACCAGGAAAAAATACACATGTGTATATAGACGTTTTACATATAATTCCAGAAGGAATTACTATTGGGGAAAACTTACGCAAACCTTAGCTTTAGCCAACACCTTGCACTGCTTTCTCCTAAAACTCTATTTTCTAGCCTTGATGCCTCCCACTTTCACTTTCAGACCTTTAAATCCAAGCGCCTGTTTGTTAATTTAGATGTCATCAGGCATTTGACCTCACTAATTCCCCTTTCCCTGCTTGAACCAGGAATCTTTTGTATTCTCTCTTTTGGCTGATTAGAACAAAATCTATTTCCTTTTGTAGTCAGTCACTAAGTCTCTAGGGGAAGATGCTTCTCTGCTTCCTCCTTTTCAAGCGACTGTCACCAGCTAGTACAGGCCTTTGTTTCTCATCTAGACTATTCCAGTGGCCTTACTGATCTAGTTTTCATCGTCTTCTTCAAGCCATCCTCCATACTTCTGCCAGATTTCTCTTTCTAAAAACACAGATCCATCTGGGCAAGGTAGGTCACATCTATGATCCCGGCAATTTGGGAGGCTGAGGCAGGAGAACTGCTTAAGCCCAGGAGTTTGAGACCAACCTGGGCAACATAGCAAGACGACATCTCTCTTTCCCATCCCCAGAAACACACCACACACACCAATGTGACATGGTATTCACTTAAATCATTCAAGGTACGTCTCTGCCCCATGCCCAACTGTCATCTGCTCTGTTCTTGCCACTGAAGACTACTGTAGTTGCCTGAAACTGCTTTTCCGTAAGCAAGTGCAAAAATAATTGATTGTTGCCTTTGGGGAACATTTTACCTCCAGTCCTGCCTCTACAGCCCCTCTGTGTTTCCATAACATCTAGAATAAATCTGATTCATTATTGATCATGTGATATGTTAATTCACCATCTTTTATTCCTAAAACGGTTTTTTCAGTCTTTTTTTGGGCTGCATAATTTTGTTGTTAGATGTTCTGTGCATTGTAGGATGTTTAACAGCATCCCTATCTTCTGCCAACTAGATGTCAGTTGCATTCTTCCCTCTCCTTACCACCACCAAAAATGTCTCCAGACATTGCCAGATGCTCCCAATTGAGAACCACTGTCTTTGAGCCTAGTACGGTACTTGACACGCAGCAAACTCTTAATCATTTGTTAAGTAAATATTATGCCCCCTTTTATGAGTGATAGGAAAGCTTAAGACGGCTGCCCGTACCACACAGAAACTTCTAGGCCTGAGTCTGAATTGTGTGGCTGTTAATTTCGGAGTTGATCATTTCAAATGTCAGTCCCAAATTAATGCTTGTACTATGTTCCTGTAAACTATTTCGAGGGCTACAGGGCAGTCTTATTTGGTTCTTGTACTGAGAAAAATGCTAATTAACCTGAGGTTCTTTTAATCACACAGAATTTTAGGAGAATATAATTATCCTAGACAAGTAACAAAAGTACAGAAGTCATTTAGGAAAAGATAAATGGATTTGACTGCACAAATGTATTTATTTTGGAGAAATGTGGTTTCCCTATGTTACCTAGGCTAGTCTTGAACTGCTGGCCTCAACTGATTCTCCTGCCTTGGCCTCCTAAAGTGTTGGGATTATAGGGGTGAGCCACTGTACCCAATCTTTTTTTTCTTTTTCCTTTTTTTTTTTTCTTTGCGGGGGGAGACAGGGTCTCACTCTGTTACCCACGCTGGAGTGAGTGGCAGTCATAGCTTGCTGCAGCTCAAGTGATCCTTCTGCCTTAGTGTCCTGAGTAGCTGGGACTACAGGTGTGTGCCACCATTCCCAATTTGTGTGTGTGTGTGTGTGTGTGTGTGTGTGTGTGTGTGTACAGTCAGGGTCTTGCCATGTTGACCAAGGTGGTCTAAAACTCCTGGCCTCAAGTGATCCTCCTGCCTCGGCCTCTCCAAAGCACTGGGAATATAGATGTGAGCCACTTTGCTGGGCTGACTAAACAAAATTTTAAAACTTACCTAACTTTAAACTATTGAAAAACTTATATAACATTCAGATTATTATTTTAAAACCAATTTTATGTTTTTATAGCTTCTGCAGAAAGCCGTCATTACACCTGATTTTGAAAAAAACTACTGTGTTCCACCATATAGTGAATCAAAGTATCACCTTCAGAAAAAACGCAGAGTAAGTACAGCGACTTAATTAAAATGCTTAGATATGTTTGACTATATATTTTCAGCTTATACAACATAACTGCACAATTAAACTATATGTATCTGTTGGTCTATATATGAGTCCAAAGAAAATAATTACAGATTTCTAAGGGCTGTAAAATATAGTACCATAAATACATTATGTATAGATTTCACAGCCACAGTGGTGCATATATAGGTAGAGCTTTTTTTTTTAATAGATTGCTTCTATCTGCCGTTTCAACTAGTTATCCAGAGAGCTTGGAGGAAAGTCGAGGATGGTACTCTAGTAATGTCACTAATATGGAGCATCCTGGCACATGGTAGGCACTCTAGACTAAATATTTGTTGTATGAATGAAACAAAAATAACTTGCTAGAAGTTTTCAAAAGAATAGTAATTTTTTTTCAAATCTGAACCCCCCCAAAAAAGAAAAAAAGAATAGTAATATTTTGTTTTATTATAGAAATAACACAAGTTTCTGGATCATTGTTGTGAGTGGTTTTATGAGACTCAAGTGACTGAATAAAAATGTTTACATTTAAGCTCTAGAAATGAAAGTGTTTTTGTACATTCTTTTACCGCATATGGTCTGTGGTAGACAATAAAAATTGAAGTTGTGTATTATTCTCCCAGCAAGTCAGCAGTTACTCTCTGAGACAGAAAATAGATTTTAGGCCAGGTGCCACGGCTCATGCCTGTAATCCCAGCACATTGGGAGGCTGAGGTGAGTCACGAGGTCAGTAGTTCAAGACCAGCCTGGCCAAGATGGTGAAACCTCAGTTCTACTAAAAATACAAAAATTAGCCAGGCATGGTGGTTGGCATCTGTAATCCCAGCTACTCAAGAGGCTGAGGCAGGAGAATCACTTGATCCAGGAGGCAGAGGTAGCAGTGAGCCAAGATCGTGCCACTGTACTTCAGCCTGGGAGACATCAAGACTCCATCTCAAAAAAAAAAAAAAAAAAAAAAAATTTTTTTTAAGGAGTCCTCATTTACGAAACTGATAATCCTGTGCCTAATTTAGCAGAGAAGTCACTTTTTGTGATTTAATCCCTTTTATCGCTATGATTCTGGAGATAAATGCTTTCTATAAAGTAACCATTTGTTTTTAATTCACAGAATTTTCTGTATATGTTACTTCAGTGGAAATGAATTCTATTCTCTTAGCTGTTAGAATGTTTATTTTTGAAATGTGAATTTCAGAAAGAACGACAAAAAACGGCAGGGGATGGCTGGTTTGGTATGAAAGCTCCAGAAATGACAGATGAACTGAAAAATGATCTTAAAGCACTGAAGATGAGAGCCAGCATGGACCCGAAAAGATTTTACAAGAAAAATGATAGAGATGGCTTCCCCAAGTACTTCCAGGTATTAAGCAAACAGAATAGTGATGATGATCTGTGGATTTTAGTTTGGAAAGCACTATAGTGATCTTTAAAGTTTACTCCTAAAGTAGAGGATATTTCTACTGTGCCTGCATAATGTATCGACCATATCTTCATAGGCCATGTAATAATGGCCATAATACAATTCAGCCACTATTAATTTGATCACATTTAGAGAGACAGTGTTACAAATGGTTTCCAGGTCAACTCTCTAAAACATGTTGAACCTGTAAAGTTCAGTATGTGAATGTGAGAATACTACTAGCCTAACAGCAAGAGTCCATACAGGATGGAGGGGAAAAGAGGGTATGATGTGTACTAATTCAAGTCGGTTTTTAAAATGTTTTCATCTGTTCATATTACACCTCTGCTCAGAAACGTTAATTGATGAATTATGACATAAAGGATTGAGTCTATATCCCTTAATAGAGCCATTAATAACTAGTTCACCTGCCTTTTGTCATATAGCCCAACAAATTCCAACACATTCAGCTACTCAGTCTTGTAAGAATGTGTACATACCAGTCCTTGCATTATTTAACTTTGCATATGCATGATTCTTGTTTGCTTGGTGAAATTGTACCCATACAAATTCAAGCTAAAATATCATTCTTTGTTAAATCTTCTTTACCTTTCTTAGGTAGAATTGGTCGGTTTGTCTTGAGCATCTATAAGTGTTTTGTTCAGCACATCCCCCCGTTATGCTTTAATTTTTTAGTTACCTTTCTGTGGGGCTTCCTTAAGACTATAGGCCCCTCACTGCGGAAACCAGATGTTCTAACATGTAACACAGCATCTGGTGCATAGTGGTCACTGTAAATTTTAGTTAATTGAGTATATGAACAAATGCAGAATGATCACTAAGTAGGCTAAGCTGTGGCAGCCTTTGTGATGACCTAGGAAACCAAATAGGTATGCAGTAGAATTTATGTCTTAACTCATTGATTCGGGAAACTAGAACAAAAAGTATATATTATCTGTTCCACTTTTCTCCTTTACTTATACTGTTCATCATGAATTTTGTGTTTAGCAAAGAAATTTTGGATCTACTATAAACTAATGAAGAAACATCATTAGTAGCACCAGTATGCTACATTTTTTTTTTTTTTTTGCTTTAAAAAATGGCAAAATTTACATTACTATCGGTGTAATTGTAAGCTTGTGCTGTCCATTCCTTTCTCTAAATATAATTAGAGCTACACTGAAGTATGAAAGCAGCTTGGCAGTCAGGTAGTGCATGACTTATTTCAATCAATTGTTCACAGATTGGAACCATTGTTGACAATCCAGCTGATTTCTACCATTCAAGAATCCCCAAGAAGCAAAGGAAAAGAACTATTGTGGAAGAACTGCTGGCTGATTCTGAGTTCAGAAGGTAAAGGAATTTATATTTATTTTGTAATATGTATACTTTGCTTTAAAATATGTGTAAACTTATAAAATTTCAGATAATTTAAAAACTCATTTAAAATAACCCATATTAACATGAATATATATTTCTATGAAAATAAATAATGTAGTGCAAATCTCTTTACTGCCTGGCTTAACTAAAGACAGAGGCTCATACCTGCTTCTACAGATACCACACATCACATAGATCCTGGAAAACATTGTACACTCATAAGACAGTGATGGTGAAAAAAAGCGATTAATGCCTTAGTATTCTTGAGAAAATAGTTTTTAAATAGTTTTTACCTAGTGGATTCCTTGAAAGGGCCTATTCCACAGACCACATTTTGAAAACCATTGGTTGATTCTAAGAAATATATATCATACTGTGCATTTTCAGGGTAAGTGTGACTTTCTTATTTTGCTTATTCCTTATTTTTGCATTTTTACTCCTCAAAAATGTTTAAAGCATTTGATACTGCCTGGTAGAGGATATGGGTCTCTAGTGGTTGAAAGTTTTCAAAAATTCTTCCTATGACAGTTGGCATTATTTCTCTCTAGATTGCAAGCAAGCTCTATGAGGCAGAGACTATACTTGTCCACTACTCCATTCCCAACTTCTACCCCAAGGTTATATTAACTTGTAACGTCTGATATATCAAACATAAAGGTGTGATTTTGCTTTTCAGATACAACCGAAGGAAGTACTCAGAGATCATGGCTGAAAAAGCAGCAAATGCGGCAGGAAAAAGGTTCCGAAAGAAGAAGAAATTTCGCAATTAAGATTTGCCATGCAAACTGCAACATTTTACATCGCTCCTTTATTTACTTAAGACTTTTGTTTGTTTTTGTTTTTGTTTGCGACGGAGTCTCATTCTTGTCACCCAGCCTGGAGTGCAGTACTGTGATCTCAGCTTGGCTCACTGCATCCTCCGCCTCCTGAGTTCAAGTGATTCTCCTGGCTCAGCCTCCAAAGTAGCTGGGATTACAGGCACATGCCACCATGCCCGGCTAATTTTTGCACTTTTAGTAGAGAAGGGGTTTCATTGTGTTGGCCAGGTTGGTCTCGAGCTCCTGACCTCAGGTGATCCGCCCACCTCAGCCTCCCAAAGTGCTGGGATTACAGACGTTAGCCAGTGCGCCCAGCCTATTAAAGATGTTTTGAAAACTAACACCATCATCTAAATTAATTTACCATAGACTGGTCCTGTTCATACAGGAATTCCTATTTGAAAAAAGTTGATTTAAGAATTGATTACATGCCCTTGGAAAATAGGGGTGTCTACAAAAGTCCCACCCTGGCTTAGACTCTTTAAGGAAAAAAGGAAAAAAGAATCCCAACCATTTTAAGGTAACTGAGTTTGTAAAGTTTTCAATGCTTAGTTATTTAAAGAAAATTTAATTAAAAGACATTTAGGAAGAATAAAGTTTGCTAACATATTCAAAGAACTTTTAAAAATGATCAAAGATATCAAAGATATATAAACATTATAATTAATAGGTATTTTTATGTGTGTATGTGTGAGTGTGTCTGTGTAGGGGATGAGAGGTGGTAGAGAGGCAATGTCCTATAGTTAGCTGTAGAATTCAGATCCACGCCAGGTGTGGTGGCTCACTCCTGTAATCCCCCAGCACTTTGGGAGACTAAGGCGGGTGGATCACCTGAGGTCGGGAGTTCAAGACCAGCTTGACCAACATGGTGAAATCCTATCTCTACTAAAAATACAAAATTAGCCAGGCGTGGTATGTAATCCCAACTACTTGGGAGGCTGAGGCAGGAGAATCACTTGAACCCGGGAGGTGGAGGTTGCAGTGAGCTGATATCATGCCATTGCACCTCAACCTAGGCAACAAGAGTGAAATTCTGCCACCAAAAAAAAAAAAAAAAAAAAATTCAGATCCAGAAAGTTGGGATATGAAAAAATGACCTAGAAAGCTTGGGTGAAGATCTGTTTTCCTTCTTTGGCAACTGAAACAGGAAGGAATAACTGGTTTTTATCCAGATTCAATGTTGTGGTCCAAGTAAAATGGGATTAAACAATATTTTAGGTTGGCCAGGAGGTCTTCAAAGTAATCCATCATATACCTGTTCTACAGTGGCATAAGTATGCACCCTGGCTAAGCTGCTTTCTGGCACCCAAAGAGTGCTTGTCATTTCTGTTGATACCTGGTGAGTTGTAGCTTCCCTTACATAACTATTCACTTTACCCCTATTTTTCCAGCATACCACTTCCTTGAGATTTCAGCAAATATGAAGTCTCATATTTACTGCTTGGAGTCACAACCTAGTAATAGCAGAACTGACAATTAACATTCATAAGTGGAGTTAGAGAAGCCTCTATGTCTGTTCTCTTTTATTAAAAAAAACTACTTTTATTTCTGGAATAATTATGTTTTGCCTTCTACTGGATAAAAGTAGGACCTACTATGAGAGAATTGTCTCCTTTAGTGGTTCTGGCCTTCTACAAATATCTGGATATTTAAATAATGAATGAATTTGTGTTTCACTTTTTAATAAGCAAGTCTTTTGAAAAACAGGTTTTACTGACTTTGGCCTGTGTCACTAAACTCAGTTCACCTATTGGAATTTTTTTTTTTTTTTTTTTTGAGACAGTCTCACTCCATCACCCAGGCTGGAGTGCAGTGGCTCCATCTCAGCTCACTGCAACCTCAGCCTCCCAAATTCAAGCGATTATCATGCCTCAGCTTCAGCTTCCCAAGTAGCTGGGACTACTGGGCATGCCACAATGCCCAACTAATTTTTGTATTTTTAGTAGAGATGGGGTTTTGCCATCCTTACCTCAAGTGATCCACCTGCCTTGGCCTCCCAAAGTGCTGGGATTATAGGTGTGAGCCATCATGCCCAGCCAACTGGAACTATTTGAAGGCTTAAGATATATAAGAAAAGTGTAAAGAGAACAAAGGGCTGCCACAGTCAGGTGTGCTGGTGAAAGAGACCTTCAAGATACCCAAGAAAGATCTTGAAAGATTTCTAAAAGAATGCTATGTTTATACACCATCTGGCTTCCAAATGCCTTTTTTTTTTTTTTTGAGACTTGCTTTGTTCCCCAGGCTGGAGTGCAGTGGCACGATCTCAGCTCACTGCAGCCTCCGCCTCCCGGGTTCAAGCAATTCTCCTGCCTCCCGAGTAGCTGGGATTACAGCCGCCTGCTACCACCCCAGGCTGATTTTTCTATTAGTAGAAACGGTTTCACCTTGTTGGCCAGGCTGGTCTTGAACTCCTGACCTCAGATGATCCATCTGCCTTGGCCTCCCAAAGTGCTGGGATTACAGGTGTGAGCCACCATGCCTGGCCCAAAGTAGATGCTGTTAAGACTACAGTTGATAAAGGTGGGCTCTGGCTAGTTTCTAACACAGTCAGTTTTGTGTTCAGTGTTCTACTGTATGATAAACCAGCTGCTCTAGAGAAACACCAATATTCCTGTTACTGAAAACTGGGAAAATGTCCTTAGTAACCGGTATAAATTAATGAGATTCCATTCTTGGATGCAGCAGGTTAAAATATAATAGGGAAAAACGTTAACATTTCTGAGATATGTACCAGGTATTCAGTCTTTCAGGCAGTGACAATTATCGTTCAGAATAATTACCTATAATAGATCCCAAACCACTGAAAAACATCCAGTTGTTTACTTAATAGAATTTGTGCTTACTATTTAATTAGATTAATATCTTTATTGAAAGTTTTCAGTAAGGGTTGAAACAAAATGGGCTTTCTAATTAACCAATTCCCCAAGCATCTAATTAAAATGTAAAGTGCAATTCTTCTCATTGTCACATAGTTTTTAAAGTGGAGAAATGCTTCCAAGAAGTAGGGTCAATACCATGACCTATAATTAAATTTTACAAGCAGATCAGTGCTCTATCAAAGAAATGAGACATCTCGAACTATGAAATGTAAGATTACATAAGTTTGTGCAAAGAGAATTCCTAGGAGGAGATAAAAGATATACCTTCAAATCAAGATGGCGCTATAGTTCCTCAAGCTCAATTTTATCAATTCCAGTTACCCTCATTTCCAGTTCACTTTAATGAATCACCATCATGGCCTTAGACTCATTATTTGAGAATTCAGTGGTCAAGATTCTTAGACTACCCAAATCTATTATCCTGTTAGCCTTCCCTTCAGTTCTCTCCAATTTAGCCTTGGCTGCACTTTGGAATTACCTATGATGGTTTCAAAATTCTGATGCCTGGTTCTTACCCACTAAACATTGTGAAATGATCTCAAGCCTTTCAGTCGTTCATTCTCTGAATCCTCTATCCCCATGAAGATACATTTTTCTTCCTAACAAATCTGGACCCAATTCATCAAATATTTCAAAAAGTCTGTATGCCCCACTAGTCTCTTTATTCTTAATAGTCTTTTGTGGTTTCTGTTACTCTTCACCTACCAATCCCAGTCGAGGAAAACACTATTATCAGTCTATATTATTGAGACTCAGGAAAGGATTGACCCTCTTCTGGGTTTTCACTGCCACTCCACAATGCATTTATTTAACTTTAAATACTTCCTGCCAAATTCATTCACCCTGCAAGTCAGCTAACACTAATAATTGAGCCCTGTGCATTACATAAGCACTGGGTACAGCAGTGCAGCTAATGCAGCCTCTATAACCAAAGAGCACACAGGAGATAAAGGACACTTCTGTTCTCCCAAAACCCAACTTTCACGCCTAGGCTTAGCAAACTACTTACTTCTTCTTCACTAAATTACTCACGGCCATCTGATGAAGACTGCCTTAGCTCATGACCCCACCAGAATAGAGAAACTGTTCCTTCCTACCTCCTTACTGCTATAGTCAATTTTTTTTTTCCTCAGTCTTCATCCCTTCTAACCAAGCAATGTCATTTGACACTACTGATCTTCCCCCCTTCTTGAGGCTTGAGCTTCTCTGCTTCTACAAGAAGATCAGCTTTTCTGCTTCTCTTCCCTGCTCTTTCTTACTCTATCCACCACTTACTGGTTTCCCTAATGCCTGCCCTCATCTTTATACTGTTTGACTTGAGTATCTTGTACTCTCTCTCCTTCAACTTCTGCTCTCACCTCTTCAGAAGACCCCAGAGTCTCCATCCTTACATCTGTATCTCCCACCCTCTGTTGCAGACTCACATTTCAGATTAACTGTTAAAATTACCCATATGAAGTACTAGGAAGTTACCTCAAAATTAACATACCTAGAAACAGGCACATCATCTTTCTGAGATGATTAAATAAAAATTAGCACTGTGCCTAGCAAGTAACAAGTACTCAAAGGGAAGCTACTATTTCCCTTTTCTCCCCCAGCCTCCCCATTAAACAGTTTTAATGGGGCCATACTGCTTTTTATCTTCTATGGCTCACTTCTGCCTAATGAAACACAGAAAGCCCTAAATTCAAGACCTGACATTCAAGCCCCTCCAAAAAATGACACCGCCACAGGTTTATATTCACTGCTTCCCTGCTTATGCCCTAACTTCACTTGTGCTAGTTTTTTGCCTATTTCTCAGCTCTTTTCACAGCTCCTTCTCTCCTCTGCTCTGGAGTGTCTGGATTGCAGGAAGCTCCATTTTCCAGATTCCCTTGCCAACTGGCTTCCCAGTAAGACACTGACAAAAGACCTAGGGGCAAAAGAAGGAGAGAAACCAGGGTAGTTCTCTCCTCTGCCTTGGTTTGGGCTGCGGCCCCACCATGTTCCAAGCCCCCACCAGCCAGATGACTCGGGCTTCCAGGTTCTGGTAACACCATCTCCCATTGTCCCTCTGGCACTAGGGGTGACAGGTTTCCTACTGTTGCAGTATCTGAGTTGCCAACACTTTCAGCATTTCTGTTCCCTGTGG